ATGCATTATCTCATTTAATCCTCACAATAAGTGGAGAGTTCAGTAGAGGAACTAGTCTACTCTGCGTATTTCAGCAGGAAGCAATTTAATGTAGGGTTTTAGGTGCTTTCAAACATTTGAAAATCCAAAGGAGCAGGAAGGTTCTTGGCTGGTCCTCCAGTGATAACACCCAGAATACTGCAGAATTGATTGCCCAGAGGAGCTACTACCTCAGAGGTGCCACTGGAAACCAAGTTCGAGATGACACACAGCGGCTGAGATCCAGAGATCAGAAAGCTGGAGTCAGGATGCCACCCAGCCTGCAATTTCATCTCGATACTTAGGAGAACATGCCCTGGAACACAGCCCTGCAGAAACTTTGTCTCTGTGACCCTGCTTGCTATCAGAGAAACATCCCAAAGGGACAGGGAGGAAAGTCCTTACCACACTTCTGCTTTCTAAATCTTGCTGGAGTACATCTGCTTTGAATCCAAAATCCGAATGCACTTGTATCTAGAATTGGGTCTAATTTGCATCGAGAACCCTAACAGCAAAGGTGGCTGAGAAAGGAGCCTGGAAAAAGAGTGGTACATGTGTTGAACGGGTGAGTGGTGCCTTAGGTGCCGCAATAATTCCCACTTTAGAGAAGAGGAAATGAACTTGGAGTCTAGGACAGGTTATCTTTGCCCCGAGTCTGGATGAATAAATTCACCCAATGACTGTGGGTGAGCATCATCAAATTTATTGAGGGTCTGAACAGCATGAAAAGGTAGAGGAAGGACATATTCACTTTCTCTTCTTGAGCTGGGCCACATCTTCTGCATCAGAACTCTGGGACGACAGGACTGCAGGTTCTTGGGCCTGCAGACGCTGGGACTTACATCAGTGGCTTCTTAGGTTCTCAGGCCTTTGGACTCAGACTGAATTACATAACCAGCTTTTCTGGGTCTCCAGCTTGCAGACAGCATATTGTGTGATTTCTCACCTCCATAATTGAGTGGGCCAACTCCCATAATAAATCACCTCTTACATATCTATATATATGTCCTGGAGAACCCAATTGCATGTATTTTTTGGTTCTTTTTGTTATAGCAACTTCTCTTTGACCCATCCAATCCACCAGGTGATTGTCTAGGCAGGGAATGGGGAATCACAGGCAGTTTTTTTGGTCAGTGACTGCCTTAAGGTCTAATCTTCCTCTACGGTTTGCTCCTATATGTCTATTTTTTCTGAGAGAACTGTCCTTTGCCCATAGCTCCTACACAGTAGGCCACATGACTCTATCTTCAGGGCAAAGTCTGTAGGGTCAGTGGTGGAGACCTAACCCAAGAGGTGCCCATCTGGAGGCTGCATGTGCAGACGGGGCCAAACAAACTGGCTTTGGAAGCCTGGTTTTCACCCCTTCTCTCTTTCTACCAACCTTTCTCTACCAAGACTTTCTTCAATTCCTACACTCTGCCCACAAGTGATTAAGCATGTAGGCCATAAACACAAAGTTGGCTATGCAACTTGAGTGCCACACAGCAATTTGATTTCAGGCACCAATGACATGTTTAATGTAGGAGCATAATTGGCTTCTCTTATTTTTAGAAGAATTGGTGGGTTCTTTGTGACTGATCAGCCCATGCCTTGAATACCTATCCTCTTTTAGAGGAGAGAGAGAGAGAGAGAGAGAGAACGAGAGAACATGGCAGCCGCGTCTCTCTGGGGCAGGCTGTGGTGGGAGAACTCGCAGCGGTGGGTACCGCCACTGCTGCACCTGGGAGGCCTGCCGAGGCCGTGCTCTTCCTGCCTGTCTTAGTCCATTTGCATGGCTATAACAAAATACCACAGACTGGTCATTTCTACAGATGGAAACTTATTTCTCATGGTTCTGGAGGCTGGAAGTCCAAGGTCAAGGTGTCGGCGGGTTTGGCATCTGGTGAGGCTCTGCTCCATTGATGGTGTCCTCTCGTGGCAGCATCTTCACATGACGGAAGGTGGAAGGGCAAAAGGGCCCAGCTAGTTCCCTCCAGCCCTTTTCTAAGGTTGCTAATCCCATTCATGAGGGCCCCACCTCATGACTGAATCCCTTCCTAAAGACCCCACCTCTGAATACTATCACTTTGTGTCTTAGGTTTCAGCATATGAATTTGGGGGGACACATACATTCAAGCCATTTACACTCCCCTAATCCTGGATTAGAAAGATTTATCTTTGGCTGCCAGAATAACATTACCCCCTTTCTCCACTGTCTGCATACCCCATACCTGTCTGGACTGAGGTACCCTGTTGGGTCTCAGGAGACCAGGATGTGGCTTTAAAGCTTGATTTTGTTTCACCTGCACTTTGTACTGTGTACTTTGCAAAAAGGCCACTCATTTGGGGGTGGGGGGAGTCCTTTTCTTATTTCCACCCTCAAGAACTAGAAAGTTGGCCTCAGTGAGACCTCACAGCCCTGCGCTTCTCACAGCTGGTCATACTTTTGCTTTTCTTTGCTGTCCCAGGGGCTCTTTCCCCATGAGGCCTGCCCAGGCTGCTCTGGCTCATGGCATCTCGCTTTCTTCTGACTCTATAAGGCACAGAGTGCTTGCATCTCACTTTGTAATTCATCCCCCATTATATTTAAGTGTATGAACCCCCCCCATTATATTTAAGTGTAATTCATCCCCTCTTTCCAGGGGACGGTGGAGGACCTTCATCGCCCTCACTTCATCTGGCCCCTACAGTATCTGCATCCCCTCTTTCCAGGGGACGGTGGAGGACCTTCATCGCCCTCACTTCATCTGGCCCCTACCAGGCCCTGGAAGTGTTTGTTGGCTGGTTGGCTGATGTCCATCTGCTGCCTCAGGCCTTTACCTAACCCATCTTCCTTCCTCCCCAGGGAAAGGGGCTGGCTAACCCATGGAACTGTTAGGAAATCCCTCCCTCCTAAGAACAAAAGAAACACAGGTCACCTCAGAGAAGGACCAAGTAGTGGGGAGGGGTGGCTGGACCTCATGGTCCTGACTTTATCCCAATACTCTCCTCCTCCTCTGGGTTCTCAGCCACTGGCCCTATCTGCTATCACACTGGCCCAAATGTGGCCAAATAACTCTTATACACTTGAGACCAGACTGGAATGTTTCAATAAAAACTGAAACTGGAGAACAGCCACACTGGGGTACGTACAACTAGACCATTTGGCTGATGAGCAGCAGCTCACTTGTCTTCAATCTGTGGATGATGAATGGGTACACAGGTGTTTGTTAGGTTATTCTGTACACTCTTCTAGATACTTGATATATATCTTTTAAAAAGACTTAAAATGGGGAGTACAGATATACTTTCAGACCTCCACCATCTAACACTTTATCCACTAACACTGCCAAAAAGCACATTAAATAGTATTTAGAATGCACTACATAAAAAATAACAAGTGTCTTGATTTATGCATTTTTATCTTAAAATGTTGATTCTTGGCTTGAATAAAGAATCATGGGAGCACATCAAACTGCTGTTCAAAAGTAATGACCAGGAAATACATACCATGTCCATGGATAGGAAGACTCAATATAGTAAAGATGTTGAGTCTCTCCACATTGATCCATAGTCTTAATGTGATCCCTGTCAAAATCTCAGCAAAGCCTTATGCAGTCATTGACATTATTTTAAAATTTATATGAAAAGTCCTGAATATAATTAAAACAATTTTGATAAGAGAATAAGGTGGGAGGAATCACTTTACCTGATATTAAGGCCTACTACACACTTACAGTAATGAGACAGTGTGGTGCTGGTGGAAGGATAGACACATAGATCAATGCAGCAGAATAGGGAACCCAGAAATAGACCTACAAAAATATGCTCAACAGACTTTTCACAAAGGTGAGAAAGTCAATCCAATGGACTGAAGATAGCCTTCTCAACAAATGGTACTGGTGCAACTGATCGGAGGAAGCAGATGAGACGGGATAGCCTTTGGACTGCAAAGCGGACCTGACAGTCTCTGCAGACCAACAGGGAGCCCTGGACAAAGACGGCAGGTACAAGGAGTACTGCACTGGGCAGAAAGGGGTGGGCTCTTGTGCCCCTGTGTTGCTCAGTCACTGGACAGGGGCTTCCCTGAGAAGAGGGCTCGGAAGCAGAGGCAAACCCCGAAGCAACAGACTGGAGGCTGTGGCGAAGCTGCACGTGAATCGTTTCTTGAAGGGCGATCTGAACGTGCGTGCCTCTCCACGTGTGCCATCGGGCATGTTTTAGCAAACCCCGAAGCAACAGACTGGAGGCTGTGGCGAAGCTGCACGTGAGTCGTTTCTTGAAGGGCGATCTGAACGTGCGTGCCTCTCCACGTGTGCCATCGGGCATGTTTTTCTCAGGGCAGAGACAAGGCACAGCTGAGCAAGTCCAAGTGCACAAGCATTTTCAAGACCCTGCTTGCATCACGTCTGCTGACACCTGATTGCCTGGTGCGAGTCAGGTGCCCTCGCCCAAAGCTAAGGGGCAAGGGAGCAGACTTCGCCCGCCTGGAGGCCACGGCAAGGGCAGGGATGCTACCTGGGGGCAAGAGCTGGGGCCAAACATTAGATGCAGTAGGAAAAAGGCCCTTTGGAAACATGGACTCTGGCCTCATCAGTTACTATTATTACTACCTGTCCAGGAGACCCAATATGCTAGGCCAAGGGACAATCCTCGGGGAGGACAATCGCTTGACTAACAACCAAAAATCTGGAAATCAGAACTGGAGTTTTGGGATGGGAAAGGCCAAAGACAGCCCAAAACAACAGCACTCCATCCTCCCAAAGCCCCTGCCAGGCGGTTCTGCGGTGGCCCAGTGGATCGATAGCAACGTGGGCGCCACCGGTGGTGCCATCTGAGTAATTCCCATGAACTGAACGTGCTGAGTTGCTGGCTGATTCCCAATTCCTTGGGGAAGGGCGGGCACCACCCACTTAGCCCTGGGGTGGGCCGTTCTCCGGACACTCCCACCCCACTCTCCCTGGCCGTGCCTGGATGCTCCTGCCTCTTCCACCGCCTCCTCCAGTCCGTCGGCTCCAGGGAGGATGGAGGCTTCAGGGCCACCCCAGGCCAGGAGGTGCTGCCCTGAGGCCCTGGGGAAGCTCTTCCCTGGCCTCTGCTTCCTCTGCTCCCTAGTGATCTATGCGCTCGTGGGTGCTGCACTCTTCTCTGCCATTGAGGGCGGCCAGGTCCTGGGGATGGCAGATAACCAGGAGTTTGAGGAGTTCTTGGAGGGGCTCTGCAGGATCTTGACCTGCAACAGAACAGGTAGGTGCCTCACCTGGGCAGGGCGAGCCTTTCCTCCGTGGGTAGAGGCAGCCCCCAGAGAGCAGGAGGTGGGGTCTGGGAGCTGCCTGCCTGTGTCCTCCCCATTCCTAGGTGCCCTTAGGCAAGTGACTTCTCTGTGAACCTCAGTTTTCTCATCTGAAAAATTCAGAGACTATGGGCTTCTGAGCATTGCTGTGAAGAATGTAGGAAAAGGGCTGAGCACCCAGTAGGTGCTCTGGAAAGACCAGCTCTCAGCCCCACCCAGACTAGCAGGTCCCTGGGGAGGATAGGTTCCTGGAGTGGTGGGGTGGGGTGGGGAGGGTGGGTGAACAGATCTGAGGCTGGGGGCTCCTGAGCTGGTCCTCAGACCTATGCCTGCTGACCCATGATTCAATTTGTAGGGTCTAGTATCCAAGAAACAATCTGAATTGGGGTTGGATCCTTAGGTGGGCAGCCTGCCCCCCATCCTCCCACTTCCTGCTCCAAATGCCTTTTCTGTTGCAGGGCTCAGGGGAGAAGGAGGGGCTGTGAGAAGAACCTGGGGGCCTGGTTCTGGTCCTGGCTGCTCTCCCAGCTCACTGTGTGGTCAGTGCCAGCTGAGCCCTTGCCCTCTCTGAGCCTCAGTCTGCTGCAGAGAAGGGGACCCACAATCTCAGGCCTGCCAATCACAGGGACCCTCTGGGAAGCAGAGGAGATAAAGGGACATGAAGGCTCTTGGAAGACAGAAGGCACTTTTCATGTCTTTACTGCATTTCATTTGTATTTAGTCACTTGCTTCTACTCTGTTTTGTTTCCCAGAGGAAACTTGCAAAGATGTATTCAACAGAGCAAGATAAAACAAGAGAGTAGGGCTGGCCAGTTAGCTCAGTCGGTTAGAGTGCAGCCTTATAACCCCAAGGTCACGGTTTTGGATCCCACTACCTATCAGCCATTCCCCTCCCCCAAAAAAGAAAAACGAGAGAGTAAATAAATCAAAGACAAAGGAAAAATGGACTCTAAAAGTCAGGGAAACAGCAGGGTGCAAGGAGTTCCTCCGCTCCTCCCCTGGGTATGGTGGGTCCTCGGCTGGCCAGCTCTCGGCTCCTCACACATGCCAGACCCTGCCTTGGGAGCAGGTCCAGCCTCAAAGACTAGAGGCTGGTTTAGGGAGGCAGTCTTCCCTCCATGGAGTATCCTCCTCCTGTGCCCTTGCCAGACAGACACAGGCCTACTCAGTGCACCTGGGAGAGGCATCGCTGCTGCTCGGATACTCTGAGCCACAGGGTCTAGACTGCCAGTAAGTTCAAGGCTCTCCAAACCAGCCCATGCATCAGAATCATCCAGGGAGCTTGTCAAGATACACATCCCCAGACTGTTCCTCAAACCCACTTAGTCAGGATCTCCAGGGCTGGGCTGGGAGTCTTATTTTTAAAAAGTTTCCCAGGTGATTTTGAGACACAGCAGAGTATGGGAACACAGAGCTGGTCCAACTCCATTTTGTATTTTCATTTGAGGTTAAAATGCTCAATAAGTGCTACTTAAGTGTAGACCCTGTGCCAAACCTTATCACATTATCTCACTTAATGCTCACAAGAACCCAATGAATTGGGTATGAATTTTCCCCTTTTACAGATTAGGAAACTGAGGCACTGGGAGGTTAAGCAACTTACTCAAATTTACAAACTAGAAAAATGGAGCCAGGGATTCAACCCCAGGCATTTGGACTCCAGAGTCTGACCCTGTCACCACCGTATCATGCTGCTTCCTGGTGGGCAAACTGAGGCTCAGAAAGAAGCCTCTTGTTCATGGCTATAGGAACTAGTCAGGGTCAGAGCTGGGACTAGAATGCAGGTGTCTGGATTCCCAGGCTAGTGCCCATTCAAATGAGTAGTGACCTCCTGCTATATGCCAGGCTGGGTGCCATCCTCTCCCGACCATTCCAGTCTGACAGGTGGCTGCTGGGATCCCAAAGCCCACTGGCTGCCCAGGCCAACAGAATCATTTGGGAGCCTCTCTCAGGAAACAGGGTTCCCAACCCTGCGTGATGATCCTGGGACTGAAGTTTTGGAAGTCAAGCCTTCCCAGCCCTGGAAGAGACATTCTCAGGCAGCTGGTGCCCAGAGATCCCAGTATGATTACCAAACCTCATCAGGCTTGACGGCCTCCAGGAGGAGGTATGGTTTGCATCCGTATATCAATTTGCATTTCCTGAAAGCCTTTTTGCTTTCAGTTCTCAGGAACCCTGTAAGAGAGATGGGACAGAAGTTATTATCCCTCTTTGAAAAGTGAAAGAAACAGAGGTTCAGAATGTTAAGAAAACCCCCTAAGGCTGTACAGCAGGGCTTGACGGCCTCCAGGAGGAGGTATGGTTTGCATCCGTATATCAGTTTGCATTTCCTGAAAGCCTTTTTGCTTTCAGTTCTCAGGAACCCTGTAAGAGAGATGGGACAGAAGTTATTATCCCCGTTTGAAAAGTGAAAGAAACAGAGGTTCAGAATGTTAAGAAAACCCCCTAAGGCTGTACAGCAATTTCAGGGCTGAGCTCAGGCTGGACCCCCATGGGCCTCTGTCAGATGCTCTTCTCATGGGACTATGTGGCCTCCTAGCCTCCACAGGGACCAGAGGTGGGATCTAAGCTACAGAAACATTTTAAAGGAGGGCTCCGAGGGCCAAACTTTGGTGCTGATAGGACTGCAGTGTCGGGGTGGGGGCTGCTCGTCCTTGGGGAAGACCTGTCTTGAAGATCACCCTCACTGTGCTTGTCTCTTTCCCGAGTTGTGGAAAGCAGGAAACAGGACCTCCGGGAGCAGCTGCGGAAGGTGAAGCCCCAGTGGTTTAGCAGGTCCTCAGACTGGTCCTTCCTGGGCTCGCTCTTTTTCTGCTGCACTGTATTCAGCACCGTGGGTAAGTGCAAGGGTGGGCCTGCCAGTGGCCTTCTCTGGTCACCAACCACAACCTGCCAGGGAGAGAGACCAGGGGGAGAGGGTGGGGAGAGAGGAAGGCTGGGAGGCCTCTTGGTGGGGATGCTGGAACATTCAAGTCATGCAATTCAAAAAACCACGACTGCAAGCCTTGTTGTTCACGGGCGGGCACTGCTCCTAAGGCAGGGGTGCAGTGTGAGCAGGGCTGCCATTGGTCCTTAAGGTACCTTTGTGCAAGTGAGAACAGAGTGTCCTTCCTTCAGGTGGTACAGCCCCACGCCCAGACATGGGCCCACGTGAGCGAGGTGTGGGCTGGATTTGGTCTCTTCTTGCCACCTTGACTGAGTGCTCTCGTTCTAAGCACAGTAACCTCTATTGGTATGTGCTGACCCAGCTGGGAACAGGGCAGATGTGGCCCAAGGCTGGGAGGCCTCTTGGTGGGGATGCTGGAACATTCAAGCCATGCAATTCAAAAAACCACGACTGCAAGCCTTGCTGTTCACGGGTGGGCACTGCTCCTAAGGCAGGGGTGCAGTGTGAGCAGGGCTGCCATTGGTCCTTAAGGTACCTTTGTGCAAGTGAGAACAGAGTGTCCTTCCTTCAGGTGGTGCAGCCCCACGCCCAGACATGGGCCCACGTGAGCGAGGTGTGGGCTGGATTTGGTCTCTTCTTGCCACCTTGACTGAGTGCTCTCGTACTAAGCACAGTAACCTCTATTGGTATGTGCTGACCCAGCTGGGAACAGGGCAGATGTGGCCCTGGCCCTCACAGAGCCCACAGGCTTCTGGGCAAGACAGAAGTTTTGTGGGGCAACCAGATGTGGTCAGTGCATGGCAGTGACGTGCTCAGGGTATTCTGAGAGAAGAGTTGGGGCAGCTGCACCAGCTTTGAGGGTGATCCCAGTGGAGAGAACATTTTAAAGGCCCCCTGGGGGGCCGAGAGCCACGCTGAGTCTGGTGGGGTGAGCAGGAGTTAGCGGGTGGGGGAAGGTGGGGGATGAGGAAGGTACCACAGGCCGAGGACAGCACAAGCAAAGAGGGTCATGAGCAAAACAGATGCCAGGCATCAGAAGAAGGTGAAGTGAGGGGCACGGGGAGGTGAGGGGCAGAGGCAGGGGCCAGACCATGGGGGCTGAGGAGGTTGATTTTATCCTGAGGGCTGTGGGAGTGTCCAAAGGGTTTTAAGTAAGGGAAGAACACGGCTGCTCAGCATCCCAGAGAGATGACTCGGCTGCAGTGTGGCCATGCACCCGAGAGGGTGAGGCTGGCAGCGGGAGATTGGTAGGGAGTTTCTGCAACAGGCTGGGTGAGAGGTGATGATGGCCTCCACTAGGACGATGGCAATGAGGATGGAGAAGAGTGGATTGAAGGAAGACTGCGGAGGAATATCTGCAGCCACTGTGCGTGAGGGTGTGAGGACTCTGGGCAGACACCAGGGCTTCTGGCAGGTGGTGAGGATGGAGTTGGGGAAGGAAGTGAGGGATTCGAGGCCAGTCCAGGTTGAGACTCCAGATGTGCCTTGCAGTGGAGACACCCAGTGCTACTGGAAATATGGTTCTGGGACTCTGGGGGAGTGGCAGGGCTGGAGACATGGGCTTTAGAGTCACCAGCATCTAGATGGTGCCTGGCTGGGCACTAGCGACAGGCGTGGCATGGAGATGGAGGACTGGTGCGGGCGTGTCAGCATGGAGGCGAGAGGTGGCAGGGGAGCTAAGGCTGGGCTCGGCTACCTCTTTTGAAGCTCACAGAGGCCCTGCAAATCAGGAGCTGGGAGCCCCATGTTATGGTGGGGAGCCTGAGTCCAGAGAAGTGGAGTCAGGGGCTGAGGTCGCACAGAGTGGAGCTGGTGCCCATGAACAGAGTTTGAGATTCCAAGTCCAGCGCTCTTTCCCCAGAGGTAGGCTGTCAACCTTGTAGGCCCATGGGGTGCTTCGGGGACCCTGCCCACCCTGCTCAGGGAAGCCTGGGAGAACCGGCTGTGCCTGGGAGGCAGAGGCAGCTCGGATTCCTGGAGACTCCTTGTGTAGGGGCTGGAGCAGATGTCAACCTTGTAGGCCCATGGGGTGCTTCGGGGACCCTGCCCACCCTGCTCAGGGAAGCCTGGGAGGCAGAGGCAGCTCGGATTCCTGGAGACTCCTTGTGTAGGGGCTGGAGCAGATGGTCTTAGAAGGGCAGGCACTTGGAAAGAGGAAGGAGCTGGCCATGCCCTGTCCCTGCACTTGCTTCATGTGGTTCCAGTCCCCAAGCAAGAGAAAGATTCCTTATGGGCAAGTCAACCGAGGGAAGTCCCTTCCAGAGCCCGGGGTGGTGGGAAGGGTGCAGGGGAACAGCTGCCCCTCCACAGTGACCACTCGCTCACTTAAAGACAGGCTCTGTGGACCCTCTAAGCCACAGACCCACCACTCAGTGGCCACACAAAGAGCAGGCTCCTGTGTGACAGAGGACACTAGAACCGAGGTGTAGAAATGGCCAGTTGGTCCTTCATTCCTTCCTTCCCTCCCTCCTCCCACAGGTATACATTGAACACCTACAAAGAGCAGCAGCTGCACTGGCCAGCGCTCTTGTACTTAAGAGGTACCGGGTTCTCTTTCAAGTTCTTTATGATAAGCCCATCTAGTCCTCACGACAAGGTCGGTTCTGTTGTTATTCCCACACTCTAGATGGGAAAACTGAGGCACCTGCAGGTCCACCAGTTTTGAAAGGTCACACAGCTGATGTGCATTTGAGCCCAGGACACCTGGGTCTTAACCCAAGACTCCGCTGCTTCTCTCTATACACGACTTTCTGTGCAACTGGCACATAGAAACTAGCTAGGAGCCTCCCCAGGGGTGGGGAGGGGAGAGTCGCAGAAGGTGGAGGTGGTGGAGCTGCCCTCAGGCCCTGCCACTCTGGCCAGCAAAAGGTACTGGGGCCCCTCTCTTCACTCAAGAGAGCAGGTACTGATCACTAGGAGGGCTGGGCCCAGGGGGGTCACAGAGCTGCGCTGGGATCTCTCCCTGCAGTCCCCTCACCCTCAGGGTGTGGTGGAGCACAGGGACCAGTGTGGGTCTGGGGCTGGCCATCCTGGGTCAGAGCTGTAATCTCCAGCAAGCATGTTGCCCCTCTGAGCCTGGTACCCAGGTTCATAACCGTCTTAGACATGCCTCTCGGGTTAACATGAGGATCAGCTGATGACCATGTGTATAAGTGACAGCCGGGATGCCTTCAGCTGTGGCTACCAAAACACCCAACCCAACAGGCTTAAATTATGGTAATTGAAATATGGGGCCTTAAAGAAATGATTACGTTGTGAGAACTGTGCTCTAGTCAATGGATTAACCCATCGATGGGGGTCATGGGCGTGGTTCTGATGGCTTCATAAGGAGAGCGAGTGAGCAGGTTAATGCGCTCTTCCTCAAGCCTTTCACCATGTGACGCTCTGCGTTGCAGTGACGAGCCCCTGCCCACCAACAAGGCTCTCACCAGATTTGTTCCATTAACTTTGGACTTCCCAGCCTCCGAAACTGCCCCAAATAAATTCTGTCTCTTTATACATTGCCCAGTTTCAGGTATTCTAAGCAACAGAAAACAAACTAATAAATGGGGTATCGAGGTCTCTCCATCCTTCTGCTCACAAGAGGCCAAAGTCCACAACCCCTTTGAACTTAACCACATCTAGTAGAGAAAAGGCTGGCCAGCCCTCTCCATGGTGTCATAGCCAGCAAGGGTCTCTTCCCAGAGGGCTCCCAGGGGCCTCCTGCCCACCTGCAAGCCAGTCCCTGGCAAGGGGATTGCATCACCAGGATGACTACGACCAGTCAGATCTACTCCTAAAGCAGGTGGGGAGCCGTGGTGTTCCAGGGAAGTCACAACATTCCAGGGAAAGAAGGGGGCATGGCTGCTGGGTGGGCACCCAGTGTCCGCTGCAATGTGCTTCATAAATGGACACATGAACTCCAAGAGGGCTCTTATGCCCCCCACCCCCCACCGGGTCTCTCCCATTCACCTGAATGCGGATCCAGGCAGGGGCAGGTAACGGGCAGAAAGTATGAGTAAGGACTGCGTTACTGAGCTGGGCATGGGGTCTGCGCGCTTTACATGCCTCATCTTACTGAATTTGCACCGCAGCTTATGCGGTGCTGTGAGTGTCCCATTCCACAGGTGGGGGAGCTCAGGCTCTGAGAGGGAATCAGAGGCAGGGCTGAGCTCAAGCCTCCAAGCTGGCCTTTCCAGGGGAGTCCACAGCTCAGGGAACACTTAGAGGAAGCACCAGCAAGTGCAAGAAAGACACTGGAGATAAGCGGAGGGAATGGAGGACCGGGTTTGGTGTGTCTTTTTTTACTCACGAGCTTAGATTGATCTAAGGGTGGGTTTCTCAACCTCGCACCACTGGCATCTTGGACTGGATAATTCTCTCTTCTGGGGGCTGTCCTGTGCACTGCACGATGCTGACCAGCATCTCTGGTCTCTACCATCTAGATGCAGTAGCACCCCCACTTCTCTTGCTGCCTCCTCCCATTGTGGCAGCCAAAAATGTTACCAGCCATTGCCACCTGTCCCTTGGAGAGCAAAATTGCCCTGTTGAGAACCACTGATCCATTGCAATGGTTGTCAAAGTGTGATCCTGCACCAGTAGCATCAACATCACTGGGGAACTGCAAATGAATTCTCAGGCCCCTGCAAATGAATTCACTGTCAGAAATGCAAATGAATTCTCAGGCCCCACCTTAGGTCTGAGCCAGAAAGACTATGGGTGTGGGACCCAGCAGTCTGTGTTTGAACGAGTTCTCCATGAGATTCTGATGCCTGCTGACGTTTGAGAAGCACTAGGCTACTGCTCAGGTGCTCAGCCCTGGGTGCCCATTAGAATCACCTGGATATTTTTACAAGCCCCCAGGCCTGGACCCTGCCCCAGACCACCCAAGTCAGAATCTCTAGGGACTGGGCCCAGGCAACAGCATTTTCCAGAGCCCTCCAGGTAGCTCTAATGGTAGTCCAGGCTATG